AGGGGATGCTTTAGGGCGGGGCTACACTGTGATTGACAGGTCTCTACTAGAAAGGTATTAGTTTGTTTCTCCTTCCGACCAGAAATGTGAGCTTCTCTGTTGTGCATCTCTGCAAACTGTTGGCAGCTGGTTTGTGTATAACTGTATATAATTGTGTACAACGCATGTTCTAAATGTGCTGTATGTTCAAAGAATGTTCCTACAACTTGAATAACATCAGCAGATCCCACATGTCTTTACCGGAAAAAATGCTCCATTTGAAAGAAGACCTAATGATGCTGTTTACGTGACGGGTATCATATTCGGAGTAAACATGGAATATTAGTGAGCGTGTAAACGTAGACAAGGACTACACACTACACACTACAAGACTCGTATATCTCCACCACCTCCAGTGGGAGTGTCTTGGTTTCTAACCGATGACGTCCTATTGTACCTTGTGGTTCTCCAGTTCCATGCGGAGGCGGTGGTTGGCGGACAGAAGCTCGCGGTTTCGCGCCTCACACTGTTTAAGCTCCGCCTCCAGCTCCACCTCGTAGTCCCGACTCATCTGCTGAAACTCCTGCAGCTCCTCCTGCGCCTCCTCCGCACTGCACACACACACACACACACACACACACACACACACACACACAGAACAGAATGTAAGTTATCAAAGAAAATAATTTGAGCTATTATCCAGATTTGACCATTTTTCCCACCGAACCTGGAGAAGATCTGGTGATTATGGATTAAACATGAAAGTGTAAACATCACAGAAATGTGTTTCACAGGAAACACCTGGAGGTTCACAATTGTTTGTCTTACAGAGTTTCTACCGCTCTCTAAACCAAACTCAACAAAAAGTATTGATTATTTTCTCTGATTATATTACGGAGCCGCAGAAGTCCTGAGAGACTAAATCTTTGTTGTGTTTCCCACACAGTCTGATTGGCTCAAGATGTTAATAAAGCAAAACTAATAACTCATGTAACTAATATAATAAGATAAATCATCTTTCAGGACTTCTGTGGCTTTAAAAACATCAAAAAGCATCAATAAGGTCAGTTCAAAGGTGCAAAAATACTGATAAGATGAAAATGTATTGTGGTATGATGAGGCAGAGGACTTAAACATGTGTAAGATGATGAACTGAAGGAGGCAGATGTGCTGGACTGTGAGGTCTGTTACAAACTACATAAACACCTCTGTTGTTGTCGGGCAGCCTGGTCCTTCCAGTACTGCAGCTCTTCCTCCAGGGACCCAAACCCTGGAGGCTCTGGATCCCCCATCTCCATCTCCAGCCGGTCACACCAACACAGCTCTGTGGTTCAATTAAAACAAAGTGATCAGAGAAGTTCAGATTCTGGCTTTAGAAACCGGGCAAATGAATGTTTAAAGTGACACCGGTCGATGGAACACAGTTGACTGTTCTACGACATGACTTCAAACGGTTGATCAGCATGCTCACGTTAGTTCGGCATCACTATCCTTCAGATCAAAGCTCAGCTTCTTTGGCTGTGCTCGTCTTAGTTGAGAAAAAAAACATCAAGTTAGGAAAATCAAGATAATAAATTCAAAGTTTACTGATATACAATAATGTTGTTGTTGTTTTTTACATGTAAGCCGAACTGAACAATAGATTCTACCGATTCAAAAGATATTTAATGTTCGTCAAATCCGATGAAACGGAACCACAAACTGCTCCTGAAATAGATTAGACACAGAGGACACAAAGAGTCTCAAAGCAAGCTGAACTAAAGAAAGGAAAACGGGAACCAAAAGTAAACGTCAGCTAAAAGATATAACGGGTCATTCATACTCCTATCATAACGAACACCTGCTTTTATAAACACAGCATATAAGATACAGATGAGCTCAGACTATTAACAATAGAGTTTAAACAACACAAGCAGAAGAAAACTTACGCTCAACAGTCGACGCAATGTTAAAAACAACTTGTTATGTTTCTAAATCCTCTTCATGGCCGACACCGCGTGGGTCGGGTAAATATTAATACATATAAATATTAAACGGACTTTCTCGGAGTTGGAAACCGCAAAGTTGCAACTGTGTTGCGAAGACGTCGAACAATACAAATTGCCATTCATATAAATCCTGACCGATCCACCAATCACAAGTTAGATGACTGCCCCGTTCACCCGCTGCGACGAGTCGGCGGCCCTGTCAATCAAACAGCTAGTAGGCGGGATCAGGATCCTTGTCCAATCAGAGGAGTGACATCTGTGACAGAGGGGTGTCGACAATAATCTTCACGAGTCCAGACGTCGAGATGAATTACCGGAGGTGATGCCTTCAAGTGCTGTCGGAAAGTTGACATATATTGATATATAATATGGCGAATTTGTGCTTCTGCAGTGGTGGTTAGTTAATTAACGTGTTATTGCTAAAAAAAATAATCAGAATGAGCAGCTCCAACCTGCTTTATTCTTCAGCTATGAATAAATAAATGACAGGCATATTCATATATTAATAAATGAGCTTGTGCTGTGTTCGCTGACAGAAAAAAACAAGGATCAAATGAGCTTTTAATGAGGTCAATTTAGTGGTTGCAGCAGAACAAGGACAGAAATATGTACAGATGTAGTAAAAATAATTAAATATAAGAGGTGTGTAAAACCAACTTATAATAGAAGTAAAAATAGAAGATATACAAGATCAATTAAAGTCAAAACGAAACGAAAAAATTAAGAGACAAAAGTGAAAGCGGTGTGAACAGAGTCAGCAAGTCGAGTATATGTTAAAGGTGTTTATATAATATGATTATTAGTACTTAACAAGAATAAGCAATGCTCCTTAGTGTTTGTCTGTATTAATATGGAGATCTAATATAAATATGATTCAGAATATAATGTAGTAAAACAGTTTGACATAAACAAATCTCTAACAGCATCATAAAACATGAATTTGTTTTGTGAGATTTTAAGTAATAACAATGTCTAATGTCAGTGCTGGGGTCACCCTTCTGTTTAAAGGCCCTTTAAAACGACATGAATTTGAACCTAACAATTATAACTGTAAAATAAATATTCATATATTTACAGGTGCATTTAAATAGCTTCCTCTTTCCTACACTACCTGAACGCAGTACAACAAAAGTTCCAACAAAGCATCAGTTTTCTTCAGATCAAGTGATTAACAGGTGACAGGAAACAGACAGCATTACAATGATTCACACTTCCACACAACATTAACTCATCTTTATTTCTATTTCATTATATTCTTTATTAATTATTATTCTCAGTTATTTGACCTGAATATGAGCAAGTGTGTATTCTCAGTGCTCTGCTTGCTGTTAGGATGCTTATAGTACGGTCGGTTCTGAGGGTTAGTGAAGGGTGGCGTGTTAAACCGAGCACCTGACAGCATCCTACACTCTGATTGGAGATCTTCACTTCCTGCTGGTGGGGTCAGAGGTAGGGATTAACGAGGCATATCTGATCCTGGTTAATCCACACGCACCATCACCGGAGCATAAAGCTGTTATTCACACACACACACACTCACACACACACACACACACACTCCAGTCCACTCTGTCCTCGCTGCATGTATTCAGAAAGTCAGGATGCGGTTAGCCTAGCTTAGCATTAGAGACTGTAAACAGGGAGAAACAGCCAGCCCGGCTCTGTCCTCATAATCTCACCAGTTAACATGATTTATCTTGTTTGAAAACGTGTTTTTTTTAGACATAAATGTACAATTAGGGAGAATAATGTGCTGGAACTATTTCTTGGCGAACTACAGTTTATTCATCCGCCCTGTACTTGTAGATCAGATGTAGTCGGTGAGCTCAGGTTTGGTTTTTCGGTCTTTGTATCGCAGTAGTTTTAAAAATGTACTTACTCAAAAATTACAAGTATTAACTGCAACTGTATATATATATTACTGTATAACAATGCATCCTATTTATCTTATTTATTATGCATTGGATCCATTCATTTGGTCAAGTCTGAAATATCTCAACAAATATTTGATGGATTGCCATTAAACTTTGCATTTACATTCATGTTCCCCAGAGCATGAACCCTACTGATTTTTTACCACAGTTTGTGACACACAAACTCTTTCCTGTTTACGAACAGCTTATTAGGAACATTGTCTTTTTCAAAATGAGGATAAATAAACCAGAACATTTGTTCCATGTAAACAAAGTCTCTGTTTTTTTTCCATCAGTCTTAATCCGCTGATTCATCACCTTCACAGGGTCATCGTTCATGGCTTAACTGTGACACAATGTCCCATCAAACCTCATCATGACATCATCACATCCACTTAACAGAATAGAGAAGTTATAGAGAAATCATTTGACTTTAGTTTATCCGATTAACTGTCTGGTCGCTTCTCGAAATGACATTAAAGTGACCAAAGAAGTGTCCTTGTTATAAAAAATTATCAAAGCATGAATGCAACAAAATAGTTGTAAACGAATCATCACAATATCACATAGTTCTTAATAATATTTCATTTTTGTTTCGTGAATGGGAAAAAAACAGAAAGTCTATTCAGTTAAAGCTCATCTACAGAAGAAAATAAACTAAAATAAAGCTGGTACTGCTGAGAATAATTCACAGGTATAATATTGGTATAATAATAAAAGCGTTACATGAGGAGGAATCTGGGCTGATGGCAACCTATGTGATGTTTCAAGTAAGAGGACAGGGTTGAGATCAAACTATAGGAGACAACACAACACAAGTGTGATGCACTGATACACATCTTTAGTAATAGAACACACTCAACGACTAATCCAACGAAAAACACCCACTAACACGTTCATCTGAGCATCACGGCCTGATAACTTTAAGCTCCGATAGAACACATTAATGAGCCTCTTGTTGTTCCTTCATTAACATGAACACACCGTAGTTTATTCTGACTCAACCACACACACACACACACACACACACACACACACACACACACACACACACAC